CAAAATTCATGCATTTTAGGCTGATATTACATTTGGTATACAACAAAATTCAAATCGGCTTTGTTAAATTTGGTGAAATTTTTTTTAGAGATAACTTCCAAATACATGCTTCATACGATTTTATATTATCCACCAAATGTAAATTAGGCGCAATCGGTTCAGGCTATAACTTTAATATATATTGTAAATTGGGATCAATTAAAAGACCAAACGTCTTTTCCGTTTGAGCGTTTGTAAGACACTGAATTTATTTATTAAAAACATTTCTTAAGAACTAGTTGTGATAATATGACTTAACCTAAATTATAACTAAGTGTAAATGAGAGAGAGAGAGAGATAGATACCAACCGTACACATGCATATGCACCATGCCACCATAAACCTTAGGGGGAGGTCATACACACGCATAGCTATCTCACATGTGGCAAGCAAACATGCTGCACTTGCTTATCAGTCTGAGTAAAGATTACATCCCATAATCTAACTCCACCATAACACATGCAGCAATTGAAAATTCTGTATTATTTATTTCTAACTCGAAGGTCTGCTCACCACATTTTCTTATCTTATTTCATGTGGACTGTATTAAGAAGATCCCAGTTTAACAAATCCCTCTCATCTACACTAGGTAGCCCCGCTATTCTCTTTTATTATAAAAACATGTTCACTTATCCGTGAACATTCTTGGCAGGGGCAAAAATACATATAAAATATAAAAATTACAAATATGAACAATAAAATAGATCTAATAGAAGTGACATTTTAAGAGAAAAGAAGTTAAGTTATAACACCCAAGTAACTCCTCCATCTTTCCAGCCTGTCTCTCTTGAACATCCCACCTCCTTTATCTGCCGGCTTCAATTTCCAAGCCGAATCCTTTTTATCTGTCGTCTTCTTTCTGTAGCCAAAGTTTCCATCCTTCTCTGGAAGCGACGTCTCACCGACCTTGGACAGTTTATCGTTCCAGCGTTCATAATTTTCTGTCACCTCGGCTTGTATTTTATTCGCTGCACCACTTCCACTAGGCATCTTCATCACAACTTGACCGTCTTCCAGCATTTTATTATTCCAGCGACGCATATTGCTTTTCTTCTTAGTTTTCATCTCGCTGGCAAACAGTTTATCTTCGACTTCTTCCAATCTCCCTGTGTCCAGTTTTCCAGAGAGCTGTTCATCTACCTTTTCCATAGTTGATTCCTTTTTGGCAATTGGGTCTTCCATATAAACCTCTTCAACCATCATTTCTTCGTTGATATTGACCACTAATTTTGCAGCCAATTCATCAGCCTCGATTTTGGATGTTTTCTGCGATATGAGCAACTCTTCCTTAAGTTGCAATATTTCAGCCTCCAGCAGAAATATCCTTCTTTCTTTTTCTTGACCAGCTTCTAAATTTGCAGCCAACCCGTCACGTTCGGTTGCAGCTGCAAGCCGTTCTCTTTTTGCACAAGACAACTCATCACTAAGTTGTCTTATTACCGTCTTCAACGCCTTGCCCTCGCGTTCTGCCTCCTGGTTAGCAGCTCGTAATTTGTCCTTAGTATCCTCGGCTACACACACAGCATTTTCAACTTCCTCCTTCAATTTGGAGACAAGTTTGAGGGCATCTTCTTTTTCATCTTTCTGTGAAATCAAGGCAAATTCCATTTCCTTAATATCACCTTCCATTTTTCTCATTACGGCTACCGCTGCTTCGCGCCCCTCTCGCTCGACGTCCAATTTGGATGTTATGCAGGCCACTTGTTTCTTCAAGCCAAGGACTTGCTCTTTGGTCTCCACATTAAGATCCTGCGTGACTTTAAGGATGATCTTAACATCTTCCAAATACAGCCTCGCTGTCCCATTCGGCTGACTTGCTCTGACAGCAGCGGCTAGTTTGGACTTCTTTAGAAGCATCTCTAAAAAGCGCCTATGAACGCATGGATGCAATATTACGTCTCTTGCCGCGTCCATAATTTTTTCTTTGGCGAAGTCAAATACGCCTTCTATGGCTTCTTCTGTCTTTAAGGTACTCATTATTTCCATAATTGTACCCATCATTTCGAGAAGAGTGGCAGCCTCTTCCTTTATTTTCATCATTGGCGGCCGTTTCACCGATTCGTCCTCCTGGGCATATGCATCACCCCTTCTGTCTGAAGATTTCAAATATGAGGCACCCTCGGTGTGCACCGCCACCACAGTCTTCTGTGCTGAAGTTTCCTTCTGACTCAGCATCCTTTTATTTGGCTTATAAATTTCTTCTGTATGGGAACAATTCCAGCTGTAGTTTTAGCTCGGTAATTTTCCACTCTTGAAGACCAATTTTAGCCTGACAGAATTTCCTCGATGTTAAGGCAAATTCTTCAACATTTATCCTCTACCGATCCGGCTCGGTGGACCAATGTAGACTGGGATCAATTAAAAGACCAAACGTCTTTTCCGTTTGAGCGTTTGTAAGACACTGAATTTATTTATTAAAAACATTTCTTAAGAACTAGTTGTGATAATATGACTTAACCTAAATTATAACTAAGTGTAAATGAGAGAGAGAGAGAGAGATAGATACCAACCGTACACATGCATATGCACCATGCCACCATAAACCTTAGGGGGAGGTCATACACACGCATAGCTATCTCACATGTGGCAAGCAAACATGCTGCACTTCCTTATCAGTCTGAGTAAAGATTACATCCCATAATCTAACTCCACCATAACACATGCAGCAATTGAAAATTCTGTATTATTTATTTCTAACTCGAAGGTCTGCTCACCACATTTTCTTATCTTATTTCATGTGGACTGTATTAAGAAGATCCCAGTTTAACAAATCCCTCTCATCTACACTAGGTAGCCCCGCTATTCTCTTTTATTATAAAAACATGTTCACTTATCCGTGAACATATATGTTAATCGCAGTTGTAATTAAGTCTTATCAAAGTCGAACTCGTACCAATGATATTTGAAACGAAAAGTCACATACTAAGTAAAAAACGAAAAAGTTAAAAAGTATCAGCCGGTTCTGCCAACAGACGCATACACTCATCCAATGTTCGATTGTTTAAATATATTTTGACTTCTGTTATGATTATTCAAACTCTTGACCCTCTATGGAGTGGATTCTGAAGGGATGGGTCAATATCGTCCATTTCATATCGGACCTAAATAAATTCGATTCGTGCCAGGTTTGGTCTGTCTGTTTGCTGGTGCGCACGATAACTCTCGAAATGAGTATCCGATTTAGTCCAAACATGGTACATCGTCATATTTTTGTCAAACATTAGTTCACTCCTTCTGGTACCTCCCCCACAAAAGTGTCATAGAACATCATTTACCACATAAGAAGAGAACGGATAATCCGATTTTGTTCAAACTTTTCCAATCGTGATGTTTGCATTGCCGCAAGATCGGGTGCGAGAATGGACAAGATCGGACTACTCCTTCTAGTACCTCCTTCACAAAGGGCCAAAATTTTGAATAACCAAAACGCTCATAAAATGCGAAATAAGTATCCGATTATTTGTGAAGATGGGATATATCGAACCTTCACCACTAAGGGTCTAAATTTTGTAGTATCTAAAATGCTCAGAAAATGCGAAATATGCATCAGATTCTCTTTAAATTTCACACATCCCAATATGTTAACCATTACAAGATAGGTCGGCCAACTCCTTCTAATACCTCCTCTACAACGGGTCAACATTTTGAATAATAATAACTATTATAAAACGTGAAATAATTGTCTTCAAAGTTTGCACATACCAATATTTCTACCAATACAAAATCAGGAATGAGGAACAGATAAAACGAATATTACCGCCTGATACCTCCCTCACAACGGATCTATATTTTGTATAAACAAACATGTGACAACTTGAAACAACTTAATGCTACACAAGATCTACTATGGGTCCTTTATATATCGGTCCTTTCATTCTGATACCTCCCCCACAAGGAGTCAAATTTTTGAATAATTATAACTCTCATAACATGCGAAATATGACAACGATTTCCTTCAAACCCTGTATATTTAAAATATTAAAAAAAAAAAACAAAATCTGATCTGAATATGAAATTTATGGTTCCACTTCCCCACTTTTTTACATCATGAATAATTATAAACCAAAGTGGGGTATGCTGACCCACTCTTTCTGTTAACTTCCCAAAAAAGTTGAGTATTTTCAAAAAGGATATACATATTATCCAACCCTTTCCCCTCCAATTATTATATGAGGCTAAGGCCAAAAGAGAAATGGAAATCCGATTTCATGTTTGAAACGCTCTAAAGCAGTAATACTCTTTCAATAACACTCATAATCGTTATGATTTTCTCTACATATATTTAAATTCTAAACTTTAATAGTAGCTTTAAAATAATATATTTGTTTTACTAATAATTGATTCAAAAGAATATCTTAATAATTGTCATTTTGGCATGAATTCAGCATTTATCAGTAAAGTTTATTGTTAATTTTATACATTTCCAAAGTTTGCAATTTTGACGGAAAGATGTTCAATTACTTGAATATCAGTGATTAATATTTTATTCGTAAACCAATAATTCATAAGACCTTGCATTGAACTTTATTTATTAATTTCCAACTTTTTGTAAGTACTACTGCTGAAGGTACGTTTATTTCATCTTAAGTTAATGAATTGGTTTAAATATCGCCTAGTATATGTAACTTCATTGAATAGTTTGTAGCTTTTGCAAACTCATTTTACAAATTTATTTATGAATCTACGCTATTTCCATCGTTTTCAAATTAATGTTTCAATAATTGTCTTCCTCATAAAAATTTAATACCACAATTTCAGAGAAATGTAATTATAATAATTATGTTCATATAAACAATAAAGTTCCCATCAGTAATGTATGGATAGTCTTGTAGTGATTTATCAATTACCAAAACTACTAATTAAAATTTATTGATCATTAAGATTAATTCAAACTAAAAGCAAGGAAAATGAAATTGTTATTACCGAAAAAGCCATCAAATGTTACGCACTCTGAATTAAACATGGGAAGTCAGTTGTGCTCAAAATAGATGTTATTCAATTTCTCAACCCCATATACTCTGATCCAGTGTCCTTTATTGAGAATAAATGTGAACGTAAGTTAAAACAAGTAAGCAAAGGGACCGACCATGTGATACCCTACAACACTATAATCTGTTGAAAGGCCCCTTATGTACAAATCCATTTTTGAAGATTTCGTTTTTAATATGATGTTTTAGAGCCCTATCTTGAGCATTTTGGCAAGAATATTTACGCACTTCGCGGTGTTTTTAGGTTTTCAAAACAATTTCATTGGATTATATTTACAGCTAAATATAATCGCATGGTCATCCAAAATGCTAGACTTCTTCCCAGTACTTAACTCTCTTCTCATTCAAAATTCCGTGTCGATTGGTTTTTAATTCTGACCTGTGACCCAAGAAAATTTTTATTTTTTGTCCATCCGAATTCTAATCCTAACATCATGCAAAATTTCGTGAGCATCGCACGTTAATTGGGACCTGAACGCCATAATTTCTTCATTTTTTTAATTTTATTGAAAGAAAGCAAAAAATGTCGAAAATAGAATCTCATTTTAGACTAAGTTTAGATTTGTTCGAATTGGAACCTTTGACACGAATTATGGCCTTCAAACGGCCAATGAAACCGTCATACGTTGCCCCAATGTTGCTCTGCGGTATTTTGGCCCATTTCCGGCGAAGCGCTTGCTTGAGGAGATCGACACTTTGGTATTTTTTTTTCCAACCTTGCTCTTCAAAATACTCCAGACACAATAGTCCAACGGATTGATATACGGAGATTTTGGTGGCCATTGTGCGCTGGGAATGAAGCGAGTAACCTCATTTTGTAACCATTCTTAGGTGGCGCGTGCTGAGTGCGATGGTGCTGAGTCCTATTGGAATGTCCAAAGTCTGCGGCCGAAATGTTTGCGTGCCCAAAGCTTTAATACACCCTTCAGAATATTTTCGCTATAATATTCGGGATTTATTCTGATGCCACCGTCGATTAATACGAGCGGAGAGCGACCATCGGCTGTTATGGCGGCCCACACCATCACCATGGCCGGCGCTTGAGTTCTGGTGGCCAACCGATGGTGCACATTTTCAGCTGACTTCTTTGGCAGGTAAACACGATCATTTCGTTTGTTTCCAAACTGCTGAACAACGAATGTTTTCTCATCGGAGAAAACCAAATTCGGCAGTTCACCAGTTTCGGCCAAGCGAAGCAACTCTTTAGCTCTTTTGAGTCTATTTTCTTTCTGTTGCGCTGTAAGTTCTTGCACTTTTTGGAATTTGTTGTGGTGGTGGTTTTTCCAGTCAGAAATCACACCATCAGACTTGAATTCCATCAAGAATTACTTTTTTTCTGGAAAATTCTCACCAGAATGCTTTATACGCTTGTAAACAATATCATGAGCTGTCACTGGAATAATTTTAACAGCAGTCGGACGAGTGGCTTAGAAATTACAGCAATCTGAAGTTGAATGCAATTTTGTTACCTCACCTTGTATAATGCGCTCAACTCATAGTGTTGCAGGGTGTAGAAATACTTTAGAAAATGTACAATTCAAAATTGTAAGTCAAATTTAAAAAAAATCGCATGCGATTCAAAATATGACAAAAATTTAAAAAATGTTAGAAAAAATATTCACTTTTTTATTGTCAATTTTTCTTAGATATTATCCTTTTCTGGCAAGAGACCATTCTGAACTGATGATAATTGTGAAAATTTGTCCAGCTGTTCTTGACTTTTAAGGAGAATAACTAAGATCTATTTACTTTACAAATATGTTGTAAATATGTTGCTACATATTCGATATGTTAGTTATTAATATTACTATGCTGGTCAGAGGTGAGCTTTTAATGTATTTGGGATTTGGCTGGGATTAAAAATATTCACGGTTTAGTGGAAGTTTTCGTATTTTTTGACATAAAAGTTATAGTTTATTTTACCCGCTAAAAATTGTCCGATTACCATCCAAATTTGTTATTATCATCTGTTCAGCCCTGGACTATGACTCCATGCAAATTTCCGCGTCGATTGGTTGACAAGCCTATAGAGCAACTGCAAAACCATTTCAATCCCTAAATATTGTGCGATCATCTCCAAAACAATAGGCTTCTATTATGACCCTAACCCCACCTCCATTTTCAATTTCTTAAGGGTCTGGCTATAATTGCGCCCTGTTGTGTGATTACAAATTAGCATCGACAGACGGACGGACGGATGGACAGCTTCACGAGATAGGAAGATCCATATATAGTTTCCTATGTGGGAAACCATTACTTCGAGGTGTTACATAACTGTTGCCCCACTCAAACTTATAATACCTCCAAACTCATAGTGTTGTAGGGTATAAACATTACCTTCAGTTTGTATCCCAGAACTTTTCTAATGTACATTAAAGTATAACTAGTGCAATTCAATGCCTACATATTCTCATACATATTTTATCCAAACAAAACATATCGATGGTTTCTTGGCACAGTTTCTTGTAACACGATGTTGTTTTTTTTTAACTTAAAAAAATTTAAGGAACCCAGAAAACTATAAATTTGATAATGTGACATGTATCGGGTAGTAATATTTAAATTTAAAATAGCTAACCAAATAAGTCTGAATTTTATCAGATGACTATTGTCGTCTAGTGTATACAGCTGGTAAAAGTGATATCTGGCTAAATTCATTAATATATTTGAGAATCGATTTGTATTCAATTTGACACATTTTATTCTACTCTAAATTTGAAAGCAAATTTCGGAAATTACTATTAATTGCGTAAAGGTATATTCGTAAATATTAAAGGTACATTTAGACCAATTGTGTAACTTTTCTGAAAGTTTTTAACTCAATTACAAAATTGTTTATGAACTTCACAATACATCGAATAGTGCGATATGGTTAGTTTCAGATTTTCGCTATTTTGAATCTTATGAACCTTCTTATAGCTGAATGCAAAAAACTTCATATTTTTATGGGCAAAGAATTATATTTTGAAAATATTTAGAAATTTGGCTGGTAATTTAGCTTTCTTATTTGAATTAGACCAAAGCCATATCTACTACTTTTCGGATATGGCGAAAAAATGGACATATTTAGAATTAATTTTGAAAATATTTTTAGAGCACTGTAGTCAATATTTACTATTTAAAATGATCGCTTTTGATAAAAAGAAAAGAAAATAATTACACTTCAAAAAACCAAGAGAAGTTTTTCCTTCTTCTTGCGAATAAGTGGGACATTTCTTAATTTTAGCATTGTGTAATTAGAAAACTAAATAATGTATTACTTTGAAATTTCCAGAACTGCAGTAGAAGTTTGTTTTCTATAATAGTTTGAAAACAGTTATTTCAATATTTATTGTTTTTCTTTTGTGTTTTCACGCCTCTATGCGACGTAATAAAATACATCAATTTCGGTTGTGACTAAATTTCTTAAAATACTAGTGTCTTGCCAAGATTTTTTATGAGTTCTACGACGTTATTTTATGGCCTTTCTATCCGTTAATTCGAATTATATCTTTCGGTGATGCTTTTATGTTGCTATTTTTTCCTAGGTAACACTTAATTTATTTATTTTTTTAATTGATTTATTTTACATTCTTTCTTAACCGTTTCTTTTTTTATGTTTTAAAATTATTGGAAAATAAAGTACACCCATTTTTTGTTACACGATCTTCTCCATTCAAATAATTTGTCAGAGCATATTCCAAGGCATATAGTTGCAAATTAATAAAAATAATAGACAAACGAAAATAGAATAAAAACAGAAATTGAATATTTAAATATCGAAATGAAATTGATTTGTATTGTGTATGGATATCGTTGTCGTTGTGGCATGACAACGAATACCGATGAACATTTATTTTTTCAGATGCTATTGCTTTCGGCAATATCGTCACTATTTTCATTTGAAATCATTATTTATGCATTTTTATTTACAATGCCGTAATTGGAATTACTGAGCTGATAATCTACAAGTGTGTAAGTAACAACTGCATCTCGGAATATGAACATACATATGCACATGCATATGCGAAAGTGGGTGTGTCATGCAAGGATGTGAGCGATATCTGATACAGACGCAAGCAAATTATTTTTCTAGATAATGGGTTTCAATTACAAATATGTTGCAAACACTCTCGAAGAAGCTTCAAATAACAAAATAAATGAAATTCTATTTTTTCACTTTCGCCTTTCTTTCTCTCTTTCATTCCATATGGCTTCGCCCGTTCGTTCACTGGATGGCTGGCTGGTTGGCAATTGTGAATTCTGTCATGGATAAATGAATGGTTGTGTGTAAATGTGGCCGCTTCTCACTAATTACATCATTTGTCACATCGAATGCATCGACGCTTTTGCTGGTGCTGCTGCTGCTGTTGTCTTCCGTGCACTGAAACTTCGTAACGATGATGCCATTATGGCAAAACAAACATCCGGTGTTTGCCTTGCACATATCTGGCTGAATGGCTTGTGGGTGTGTGATAATAATGCATGCTATGAAATAATCTGAAAATTACGTTCTTCTCCATCTCAACGCCTTCGGAATCATGCAATCATGCCATACCAAAACAAATGGTCTTTATCCTTGTCTCCGCCACATTAACATGATCGCTGACATCCCTGCTGCTGGATGCCTGATGCCTGGCTCTACCCAACAACGAACATGCTGGGGCTGTTGGGCTGATATCCCGTTGCATTCCATCATTATGCCATGGTTTATGCTGCGGTGATTACAACAACTGGCAACTTTGTCTGCACGAAAATCATCAACACCCACACATACACACACAAACATATATCCATATTTCGGTTTTAATGGGGAATAAATACAATGCGGCATGTGGATGCTTCATGAACTCATCGCTCGTTTATAATCACCGACTTTGACCTGATTTGTATGCTGCCTTTTGTCTGTCTCTTGCTTTTGGCAAATTTCTTTCTTCTCTGCATACTGATGGCAATGATGTCAAATATTGGCTATGCTGGGGCATTTTGCCTTACCACCTACCTTGGGCCACACATCCTCAATCTTGACTGACACACCTGTAACCAATCCAATGGGGAAAATGTTGTTTGTGTGCATGAATAATCCTGCATATGCATTGTGCCCACACACACTTGCATACACGTCCTTTGTTCAACGCATACGATTAAATGTCATCATCGTCTTCCGTATCGAACGACCTGACATGCTTGCTTCATTTGGAATTCACGGTCGTCGCAAATGTCGTAAACACATGGAACCGGATGTGATGTGACGTATGACAACATAAAACAGCCCTTCTGTCAGCCACACTGCGCACATATCAAAAGGCCGCCTGTGACACAGATCAAGTTGTAATTGCATGTCCACGTGGCACCAGCATATCGATTGAGTTTGCACAATATAATAAATTTATAGCCAAAGGTAAGTCTGACCACCGGAACATATGGACGGACGGACGGACGAACTGACGGGCACACTTGCACATGTATGTGTTGTGTATTTACGCGCAAATATGTTGACTGACGCTCATCCAGAGCACATACAATATTTACTACTTTTAATGCAAATAATCCAATTTCCTTTCGGTAATCGAAATTCACATTAACCGCAAAGCCGACCACTGCCCTCGGTGGATAATTCAGGGAAATCAAATTTTCAATAAAAAAAGTTTAGCGTCCAAAAGTGTAACATAAAAAACCTCAACCAATTAAACACATACACATGTACATATGATATTGTAAATATGTACAAAGGAAATGAGAAAATATGATTAGTGGCATATGCAATTTTAATGTCAGGCAACGTAAACATTTAAAGCATTTTAATTGGCTTAAAAAACGGTTCATTTGCGCAATAACATTTTTATTTGTATTTATTATTTTGTTACAAATTTAATTCATAACATATTACATTAGGACATGCTTTCTTTGGATCACTTCGAGAAAAGGCATTCAATGGAATTTAATTGTTATGGTATTGTTCAACAAAATTTAAAAAATTGGAAGATGTCTTTTGGCGTTGAAAGCGCTTGGTATGTTTATTAAAAACCTAAATTTGTAACAATTCTAACAGCAAAGAATCCTTTATGCGGAGCATATTATAAAATATTCTTTTGTAAAGCCGATTTTTTGAGCTGGATAATAAAAAACAAACAAAATTACTTGACTAAGTATATATTTTAATAAGATCAGGTAATGGATTTGTCTAATCACAAATTTAAAACATGTATATCTTAACTGGTTTTTTAATCTCAACCCATTTCCAGTAAATTTGACGGAGGTATTTTTATGGTACCAAATATAACTGCTATTGAGTGCATGTTATGCCTTTGATAAGATATAAACAAGTAAAAAACATTTTATACCCTCTACCTTAGGGTAATGGAAACATTAGAACCAATTATGACCCACAAATACCAATTTTTATACATATTCGTGGGAAAATGTGGCAAAATCATCAAAATACCGAACATCCGGAGGTGCCGCTATATGGGGGCTATACCAAAACTTGAACTTATGCATCTAATGTTTCGCCACCGGAGCTAGAACACATTGTGACCAACTTTGGTATTTGTTGGTCAAATTTAGACAAATCCACAAATAAATGTGGCAAAAATCATCAAAATACTGAATATCGGGAGGTACCGTTATATGGGGACTATACCAAAACATGGACCGATATATGTCATTTTCAATACCAACCATCCTAGATACAATACAAATTATTGTGCTAAATTTTGACGCTCTACGTCAAACAATGTGGCCTATATCGTGATTTCAACAGACAGACAGACAGACGGACATCGTTAAATCGACTTATTTTATGCTGATTATGAATACATATACATTATGGGGTCTACGACGAATATTTAGACATGTTACAAACGGAATGAAAAAGTCAATTTACCCTCCTTTTCAAGGTGGAGGGTATAACTAGAGTTTTCTGAAGCACATGTGGCTTCTACACTAAATTGGGTCGTATGTGCCAATACGCAACATTCGATGAAGATTCTTGAATAAATTCAGTTGCATTTACATTTATACATAATGGAGACCATTAAATTGAACTATGGGTACATCTCGTTTCTTTCTGCATTTTACAAACAATTACACAAAGAAATAATACGCTCAAAGATATTGTGGTATAGGATAGAGTTGAAGTTTGGTAAGGTAACTTTATTTTTATTTATTTATTTATTTTCAATTAGTACAGAAACCTAGCCAACAGGGCCATGGACGGTTCAAAAAACTTCTATACATGACTACTCTAAAATTATTATAATATCCTTAATCCTAAAAGAATTACTTAAAATTAAACACTAAAACAAATTAACAAAAAATGAATAAAATTAACAATTGATTGATGGTTCCAAGAACTCCTATACATGACTACTCAAAACTATTCATAACATCCTTAATCTTAAAAATAACATTAAAAAAATAACAAAAAAAAAGATAAGCAGAAATCACAATTCATTGAAGATTTAGATAAATCAACTATGCAAGGAAAAAAACAAATTAACACAAGAAAACTATATATTTTAAACAATATTGAAATGAGCATATAATTTACGCCTATAACATTTTAGGGAAGAATTGAATGTCTTAAGATTAGGTGGCAGATTGTTGAAAATGCGAGCAATTCTTACATAGAAGAATTTTTCCAACAGAGGAGTCAAGCGTGGTATAACAATTTGCAGGTTCCTTACAGATCTCGAAAACTTAAAAAGGTCCAAAAGAGTAGAAGATGTCCTCAATTTAAAATGTTTGTAGAAGAACAACATTGACCTTAAATTCACAAAACACTCAAACGAACAACCAAGAAACTCTTTCACAGAAGGAGATATATGATCACGACGTTTGACACAAAAAACATATCGCATTACTCTATGAAACAATAGTTTTAACTTACGAAAAACAAAACCGTAGCTACGCCCAAAAATCTCAATACAATATAAAAAGTGAGGCATTATTAATGCATGTACCAACTGAATTCTAATCTTCTTAGGCAAAACTATGTCCAAGCAGTACAACTTCTTTAAAATAAAGTTAACTTTGGACACTAAAGAATTCACATGCACATCAAACACCAAACCAGAATCAAGAAACAAACCAAGACATTTCATCGAGCTTACAACATTTATAGGCGTCCTATAAATGGAAACTCTAATTGAATCCTCTTGCAAGTTCCCAAAAAACATAACTTTAGATTTTTGAGTATTTATTGAGAGACCGTTACAGGACAACCAAGTTACCAACATATTAATATTAAAATCAATTGACGACTGCAACACATCCATAAACACATATTCTCCTTTAAACAAAATTTGAATGTCATCAGCAAATGCAAACGACATACAGTTCCTACCATTAATACAACTCAGCAAATCATTAACATACATAACGAACAATAGAGGGCCAAGAACAGATCCCTGTGGCACACCACTACTCACTGGAAGAAGATTGGAAACAACATTTTTACCAGAGACATACTGTTTTCTCCCGAACAAGTAAGAAAACATTAACTTACATGCCGAGGACGAAAAATTGAAGAGACGATGTAACTTACTAATTAAATTGGCATGATTAATCCTGTCAAATGCCTTCTCCAAATCAAGTGATAATAAAACACAGCAATCACTAGCACTGACAGAATTTCTTATATTGTCAGTCAATCCAACCAGAAGAGATGTTGTGCTACGATTACTTCTAAATCCATATTGACTCTGGTGTAATAGTGAATGCTCATTTATATATTCTAACATTTGATCTTTCAATACATATTCAACCATTTTAGAAAGAATTGGCATTATTGATATGGGTCTGTACTCATCAGAATCACCACTTTTATGAATAGGCACTATTTTAGCAATTTTCCAGAGCTCAGGAAACACAGACACTGTCAAAATCGTATTCACAACATGAAGCACAAAAGGACCAACAAATGGAAAAACAAGTTTAAGAAATTTAAGTTTAAAGCCATCGTAACCTACTGCTTTTGACTTAATTTTATTAAAGGCACTAATAACTTCATCATAACCAATGGCACGAAACGAAAAACCATCATAAGCACCTACAGGAACACAAGAAATATCACAGACATCCATAGATTGATTGGAGACAAAACAAGAATTCAATATCTCAACATCCACATTTTCAACTTCACATTCCTCATCACTCAAACCATTCTTATTTAATATCGACCACACTTCCTTTGTGGTTTTATTCATAAACAATTCCTTGTGAGCAATATACTTCAACCTCCTTATGACTTTCTTAGCACGGTTCCGACAACGACAAAAATTCCTCCATTTATCTAAAGTCCTATTTTGAAGATACGCCTTATATGCAGAATCCCTAAGGGAAACATATAACGGATGTCAGAAGATTTAAACCAATCACTATTATTCTTCTTATAAAATCTTCTTCTTATCGGAACAACTGTATGCAAACATTGAAGACCACAATTTAGTATATTTACCTGTGAATCAACATCTGTCACTGTAAACACTTCTTCAAAGTTGCATAAATCCAAAGCATCCGAAATCGCTACTGGGTCAACAGAACTGTAGTCCGCATATTCATAAAACAGACGACTACGACAAGTAGGAACATTGAGAGACAAAAATATAAACGAATGGTCAGAAATGCCAGGACAAGAGAATTGATTTGAACATGCTAACAAACTCAAATTCGACACAAAAAAATAATCCAACAAAGTAGTAGAATTGTGCGCAACATCGACATGTGTTGGCATTGAATTATGAACAACAGATAAATTCAAACGACTACAAACATCACGCACTAATACACTTCGGTTCAAATCAAACATGTTATTGTTAAAGTCCCCCATAATGATGACATTGGAATACTTTACCACAAGGTCAGAAATTTCATCTTCCAAAGCCAATATATTACCATGAGGCAAATAAACAACCCCAATTAAGAAAACAATATTATTAACAATAACCTCACAAAAAACATATTCAACATCACCATAAGAATTACCTCTACACACAAGTTTATGACTCATATCCTGTGCAACATACAAAACAACACCACCTCCTCTGCTACCAGGTCTATCACTTCTGTAAGAAATGTAATCTGGTATTCTTATGGCTTCGTTCGAAATTGTAGGTTTTAACCAAGATTCTGTCACGCCAAAAATATTAAGACCTTTCCCCTCTAAAATATTTCTCAATTCATGGATTTTAAATGAATTTTTACTTAAGTTAAAACTTCTAACATTTACATGTCCAACATTAAAATTTTCCCTAAAATTGCATAGCTGATTTAACAAAAAACTATTGTCGCTAAAAACTTCGCCTAAATTGGTTGAAAAACTCATAACGACAATGTAGCGCAAACGATCAAAAATAATGTAAAAGATAACAAAATATAACAAATACCAAGAAAATATAA